GTGGTGTGGGGGGGGGGGTGGGTTACAGTAAGGATTTTACGAGCGTTGAAAGGAAACCTCAAAATGGGCCTGTCTTTTTAAGCTCCCCATTTCTTCCCCCCCCCACCCCACCCTACCCCAAGAAATTTTCCGTCCCAACAGTTGCCGGAAAGGTGAAGGGCAATGAAAGACCAGTAGAGAGCGTCTTGGTGTGTTCCAAAATAAAACCAGATCCATTCAGCTGATAAGAGCATGTTCATACAGGGACACACATCAAACAAAGCAATAGATCTGAGCAAACACAATTAGAAACACCAAAGAATACTTTCTTTTTTTTTTTGTTCTGTGAATAATTTCTTCGGGGAAATCTAACTTGTATTAATTGAAGTCATTTTTTATAATTTTGACAAAGATTCTTGAAATATTTTTCAACTAATGACAACGCATAACAAACTTTTTTTTCTCACCCAAAATTTGTCTTTATGTGTAATGCAAATACCGATGAAATTATAAATTCCAACTATTTATTTGCAAGTTGGAATGAAATCAATACCATCTTAACGACAGGTTTACGGGCTAGAATAGGCCTGCACACCTCAAAATGTAAGGTGGGCCGTAATACATTATTAAAAACTTGTACGGGCCGTAATACTTTATGAAAAACTTGTGAGGGCCATAATACTTTATGACAAGCTGGAGCAAGGCGAGAGATAATAGGTCAGGGACGAAAGCTATTAAGAAAATTTTAATAATAAAGAATATTTCTTTACTTCGCGGGCCGCCTAGTGGGTGCTGGCCGCCTAGTGGGTGCTGGCCGCCTAGTGGGTGCTGGTCAGGGTTTCTTTCAGCTATATCCCCCCCCCACGAAACTCTGAAGTGCCCCCCCCCCCCCGGGGGGAAATTTCTGAAAGAAACACTGGGCTGCCAGTCCGCATGTTTCACGCGGCCGTAGCTTGTGCATGCCTGGGCTAGAAGAACAACAACAGGAAGCACACTATAAATAGAACTGAAATGGGACATGTTGATGTGGACAGGGTCAACACACAGGAAAAAACGGAGAGAAAAAACGTGTGCTACAAATACACGCAAGCTATTAAGATCAATCGCTTGCCCCCCCCC